TATCAAACATTGCCTAATTTTCTCTGTAAACCATTTGTCTGGTTTTCAAGTTTTAATAGTTTAGTAAGAATGAAGGCAGCCAAGATTAGAGGAAACTGGCAGAATTCCTTTGTGCCCTGTTTACCGAAGCAGCTCAAATCCCCCTGGCACAGAAACAAGGTTGCTGGAATGGTCTAAAAAACCAACAGGATCCTGAGTAGAGTGGACCTGGGTACAGCTCAATGGGCTGTGATTGCTGGAATTAATTTCATTAAGATTAATACATATATTCAAACATACAGAAAATATTTACTACTAAGGTTATATAAGGGCAGAATCTTCTGACCCAGCTCCAGGCTGTCTTCACCAGGGCATCTCAGAGGGGGGCTAAGTTTCCCCACCCCAAGCAGAACCCTGGCAGCCGAAAACCTCCAGAACCCAGACACAGCTATGCTCAAGGCCATTCTCCACACACTTGGACAAGCCTCACCCATGAGGGAGCCAACAGAGGAAGCCAGGTATGTGGGACCTGTGGCTGAGATCCCCAAGCCTGCTCGGATCGGAACTGGGCTTCTTCCACCCAGATCCCCAGTTTTCCAGTAGCTTGGCAGTCACACTCACAAACTGCCCCCAGCACCATGTAATCTTATCAATGGCCAAGATTCAGAGACTATAAAATAAAACTCCCAGAAGAGAGCAATGCAGTATTTCCTAGAGCACAGGGCCGCGAATCTTATTCTCTAGCCTACTGATGTAACTAAAGTAGCACACATTTGTTTGGTTTTAACATACTTGCATGTATCCTCTTATATATGGGGCTAATTTGCTCCAGAATGAAGTACAACAACCTTCACACACTTCCCTCTTATTGTGGTGGGAAGAAGCTCGTTGGTGGGATGGGTGTTTGAATGTTATACGTAATGAACTACTGCGAACTACTTTATAAAAATAAAATGTATAAAAATCACAAAAACAGTTACGTAAGGATAATAAAGCTGTTGTGATAAATAAAAGCATATGAAGTAAAACGTGAAGATGGCTGTAGTCGTATCAAACTCAACCTACAATATATCGATTTCTGTGAGTTATTTGGGTTACACAGCATTGAGAAAAATCCTGATGTAGAAATATAATTAACTGTAAATGTTAGAAGAATTTTTTTTATTAACATGCATTCTTAGAAACTTAGGTCAACACATTGATCATCTCTTATGTACTCAACTTTTATTAAAAATACTGATAAAAATAAAATATTTGAAAAATATAAAGTATTATGCTAGTTGGTTTTCCCTTTTATTGTCCTGAGACACACCTTGTATGGGAATTCATCTCCCTAACAAAAACCCCAAGGATGGGATATACTCCTAAGATAGGTAAGACAGTTTAGGTATCAAAATGCAAAGGGTTTTGCAAAAAATGCATCCAGGAAAGAGTAAAGAAAGAAAGAGTAGAATAAATAGTTGCAAAAATGTGCCAGGTAAGTACAGAATAATACTATTTACGGTCTTTTAGATGTAGGGACAAGATGGGTAAAAACAGAATAGGAAACTATCACGCCTCTGCTCAGAACCCCTTTCTGGGTGCTGGAAGTGGGACTGGGCCAAACCTGGGGATGCTGAGGGATTATTCCTGGTTACACACTTGGGAATTACTTCTGGTGGTGGTTGGGGACCATCTGGGTTGCTGGGGATTGAATCCAGGTTGGCAGTATGCAAGCTAAGTGTCTAACTCACTGTACTGTGGCTCGAGCCCCTTTTACATGGTACTTTTTTTTTTTCTTTTTGGGTCACACCTGGTGATGCACAGGGGTTACTCCTTGCTTTGCACTCAGGAATTACTCCTGAAGGTGCTCGGGGGACCATATGAGATGCTAGGAATTGATCCTGGGTTGGCCGTGTGTAAAGCAAACGCCCTACCCACTGTGCTATCGCTCTAGCTAGCCCCACTTGGTACTTTTAAGGGTACCTGCTGATTAGCTGAGATAGCCCAGCCTCTGATCTTCATGTTCCTTCTGTATGTTAATGTCTCTGTCAACTCAAACAATGTCAGCTTGGGTGGGAGAGCGATGCAGTACTGAACAAATGTGAGACCACTCAGCGCTGCTCAGGTGACCCTAAGGCTTGGACAACCTGCATTTATTTGTTTCTCTCCTGTCTATCTGTTCATCGCATTCTCTTTGAACAGCTTCACTGGCCAAGCCTGCAGGATCTGTTTGGCAAGATTCACGACACCTTGGGGTATTTAAAGCTATATCCGCTGGGTGGCTCAGGGGACCATGCGGTGCCAGAGATTAAATCCTGCATTCTTGTATGCAAAATATGAGCTATCTCCTGGGCTCTACCCTAGTAATCTTATAGAACAAAATCTGAAACAACACAATCAAGAATTTTCTGAGAGTCCTTCAGGACTGGTCTAGGAGACTGCACAATATACACAGTAAAGTGCAGTTACAGCAGCAACTGGCTCATTCTCCTCACTGCCAATGAGGACGAATCTTCTACCTGCAACCTTCACCCCTGCCACTAAGACTATGTTTAATCTGCTTTCTGAACTCCATCTTCCCCTTTTCTACTCTTTAATCCTGCTAACCTAAGTTCTAAGTGTCCCTGATATGGGGGTATTACTTCCATTTGTTTGTTTATACTGTTAGCTTCCCCTTGGTTTTATATTCATTATATTGTTGAAGGTTCCTAATAGTGAAGCACCAGAGTAATGTACACACATTTCCTCCTTTATTTCCACTGCCATATATACTACTCTAAATATCAATAACTATGGTGAAGCATTTACTTTGTGCCAGGTATTGTATGTTGAGAGCCTTCACAGGCTCATTCAATTCACAAAGTAGCCCTATGAAAAAGACTACTACTATTGGCCTCATTGTGCACATGAGAACACAAAAGCTCTGGAAGGTTAGAAAACTTGCCAAAACCCAAGTAAGGGAGAGAATGTTCCCTGAGAAAGTGCTGAGTCAGAGTCAAGCTCTTAAACAGAGTTCTTAAAATTGTTAGGGAACAATAGCATTCTCGCAGAGGGACAATACACACAACAGCAGAGAAGTAGGAAGTAGCTTGACATGAAGTTCAAGAAAAAGATCAGTCTTCAAAATCAACAGAGCAAGGTTGAAATACTTATTTCTGATTTTCTCTGAGTCCTGTTAGGGTGATTTTGGTTTTCTTACTTACGGAATGGGCATGACTATACTGTGTAGAATTTTTTTTTCTTTTCGGGTCACACCCGGCAATGCTCAGGGGTTACTCCTGGCTCTGCACTCAGGAATCACTCCTGGCGGTGCTCGGGGGACCACATGGGATGCTGGGAATCGAACCCAGGTCGGCTGCATGCAAGGCAAGGCTGCATGCATTCTGGCCCTACCTGCTGTGCTACTGCTCCAGCCCCTGTAGAATTTCTTAAAAATTAAAGTGAGCTATAGTATGTGAAAATACTCCACAAAGGGTCAGGTCTATGGGCCAGGTCATATTATTTATTGAAATAAATGTTGCTCATCTTTCCCCCCAAGCTGTTGAGAATTTAATGATAATTATTATTAATCTCAATCTCAAGAATGTTCTTTCTTGGGGGTATGGTGCTGCTAGCAGGTCAATCGGTACCTGTGAGGCGTGGGCATTAGCAGCCTGATGGCGTCTTCAGACTTCCAGATGCCCCAATATTGCTGCTGTGCCTTTGGCCAGACCCCAAACACTTGGGACAAAGTTTACCAAGAAAGTAAATGGCCAAAAGTTAGGTATTTGGGAGAAACACCCACAAACCACCTCCGGCTCAGCTATATAATTGGAGGCAAGGCCTCTCTGGTTCCATATCGAACTGCTTAACAGCCATGATCCCAGAGACTCAGACAAATCTCGGAACCCAGAGGCTTTTGCCAGTGATGCGTCTGGTCCCCACAGGAACCACCCTAAAGGGGAAAGGGTACCATCCCTCTGCCTGTTCCCCTTTGGCAGCTCAGTGGCTGCCATCCTCCAGAGGTCACTGGACAGTCAGGACTGGCCCCACAGTGATGAGACACGCGGGACTCGTGGGATAGGGGTGGAGCTGGTCCTCCCCACCCTAATGAGACCCTAAGTCGCTGCCCACAAGCAGCTTCTCTGGCTCCTGATCAAGCTGCTTAACAGCCATGATCCAAGAGACTCAGGAACGAATCTCAGAACTCAGCAGGTTTTGGCAGAAATCCCTCCAGATTTAACTGTTCTGTCCTCCCGTTGTTCACCGATTTGCTCGAGCGGGCCCAGTAAAGTCTCCATTTTGAGACTTGTTGTTACTGTGTCTGGCATATCGAATACGTCACAGGGAGCTTGCCATGCTTTGCCGTGGGGGCGAGATACTCTCAGGAGCTTGCTGGGCTCTCCGAGAGGGGCGGAGGAATCGAACTCGTATCAGCCATATTGGCTACTCACCAGGCAAACGCCCTCCCTACTGTGCTATTGCTCCAGCCCATTTAATTGTTAAAATTTTGGAATTCCAAAATCACGTGGTCACTACTGTGGCCATGCGGCATCATATGTTATTCATAACCAGCAACAGAAAGTAAATTTTCTACTGTTGCCTTTTCAGCAGATTTGAGTGTTGGGGCAAAATCCCAAATTATAATGGTGGATCTGGTGTTGAAATATTGAATGTGATCAAAGTAGAGAGAAAGTAATGTGGAACTCATCTGCCCCACAGGTAGGGGGAGGGTGTGGGATGGGGGTATACTGGGGTATTTGGTGGTGGAAAATGGGCACTGGTGAAGGGATGGGTGTTTCATTATATGACTGAAACTTAAATCTAAAAGCTTTGTAACTGCTCTCACGATGATTCAATAAATAAAATTATAAAAAAGGGGAAAAAATAAAAAGAATATTCTTTCTATCTCTATTAGACCCTAGGCATATCTTCCTTTTCTGAGTTCCCAAGCATCCCTAGGGCTTTTGGAAATGGAAATATCAAGTCATTCCAGAGGTTATTTGGTAATGTCCTTAGCCACCTTTTCTCAAAATGATAACCATTCTCCCACCACTCACCAGTGTAGGCCATGTTCTTGGGGTTGCCATAAGGAGCCCCAGGCTGCACGGGGCTGTAAACGGGGTTCATTGTGGAAGACTGAGGATCCTATAGAGAAAAGAGAAAACAGCACTGATTAATGATTGTTCATTCTCCCTGACATCAGCTTCCCCTCTGCTTCCCCTCTATAATCTCCAGTTTATCCTCACGGAGGAGAACAAGGCATCACTGAAAAAAAGATTACATAAAAAGCCATATGACTGTACTACCCTATGCACTTGCCATCTTCCAGAAGAAGATGCTGAGAAACATAAGGTGCTAGCTTACATAATATCACCCAGGCTTCGAGCTCTTGGTTCATTGCCAGTCAACCATCCCACAGACAAAGTTGGCACTAGCATATTGTATGACATTAGCTAAATTACTTCCCCCTCTCTAGACAGTGTCCTCATGTAAAACGAACAAATTTAGGCTCTCTGGAGTCCTTTCTAATTCTAATGATACTTGTGTAAGAATTGGCAAAGGATGGACTTCTACTGGGGAGCACTGGTGCCTGGTGATGAACACACAGACTTCTGAAAGAAATAAACTCACGCAATCCTTGCACATGCAGAGGACAAGATCCCACCATGGAAAAAAAAAAAACACGAATTTACTGCCACTGATCATTTTGTTATAGACAAGGAAACACAGTCGAGATCTTTTTCAAAATGTATTCAAGGGAAAGAAATAAACGTGAAAATCTGTGTGTAGTATCACCTGAACAAGTGCTTTGTTAATTACCTTAATGAAGCACATTCTCCATTCTGATTAATGCAATAGCTCTCATTAAGCTCCATTAGCCAGTCAATTTGTCCTACCTTGTTATGGGAACCATTTCTGACACATAGGCCAATGCATGTTTGAAAATGTGTCTCCAAATATATTATTTACACTTCATAAAAATCAAACAATTTCTTCCTAACTAGGTTCACATGATAGAAGAGCAATTTTTTTAGGTCATTAACTTCTCCTGCAGCACCTCAGGATAGGAAATAAGGCAAATGTTTAAGACGGGCAATCAACAGCTGGCTTGATGACAACTATTCTGCAATTTGTCTGTACATGGATCTGGAATGAAGGTAGAGAAAAGATTCCTAAAGAAACACAATTGAGACAATAAGACAGGAAAACATAAGCAGTCAATTCAGAGACTAGAACTTCTTGAAAAATGCCAATTTGCAGTCCTGGCAAATCACCTCAGGCCAACAGGCTACTTTAAATATAATGAGTCAACAAATTGAACTTAAAACAACTTTAGGATGAAAGTTATGGAAAGTACACGTTTCTATACAATTTAAGGAAGAAATATTCTCATAGCTAGAATTATCTAAGTAACACTCTATCTAAAAATATAAGCATTCTCCTGACACCAGGAGGAAGCGGGGGAGAAGAGAAAGAGAAATTATAGATGTTAAAATACACTGCAAACTTAAAAGTGGCATGCAAATACAAACACCGACAGTAGCTAAATAAGCATGAGTAAGGAAGATAGGCACTGCATAGCATCACTGGCTCTGTAAACTCTGAGCACTCTCCTACCAAGAAGTCACTCTCCATCTGCTGTTGACTGACCAAAGTATGAATTTACTTTTCATAACCAGAGAAACTCATCCATTTTCAAACTGGTCTCCTGCTGCCCCCAAATTGGGGCTGCAGCCTCAGAATGACAGCTTGTCTGGGCAGCTCCCTATAATAGCATAAATTCCAATCCCAATTAATTACAAGAAGAAATGAGATCTGTCAGGGGTTCAACATTGGGAATAAGAATGAGAGTCGTTTCATAGGCAGACTTCCTGGCTTCAAGGGACAGTCGGCCTCTTCTAGCAGAATCTACACAATGATGACAGTTTGGGGAAAGGCTAAAATCTGGGTGTGGTGGTAGTCATAATTTGAATATATTCTGAAGACCAAGCTGACAGAAGCTTAAATATGAAATCTGAGAGCAAGATGGACAATAAAGATTATCCCAAAGCCATACCACAAAATCATAATAATTTTAAATACCATTTACTAGAATGAGAACTATGAGAGGAACTATGAGAGGAACAAGTTTTAGAGTGAAGGACAAAAACTTGAATTTAAACTTCAATTCAAATTGCCTAAGAATTCTTATTACTGAATGGCCAACACACACACAATTAGTCTATAACCACTATTACCAGTATTGTCATTATTATCAGCAGCTACTGTATACCTGTCACTGGACAAATGCTATGCTAGGGACTTATTAAGTCCTAACAAAAGTCTTACAGAGTCATAATTCTTGCAAAGTATTATTTTCACTTTAGGTAGGTAAAAAGACTTTAAGCCCAAAGGAAGTGGCTTGCATAACATCTCACAATCAAGAACTGGAATAAGTTTCAAACACATCTGATTACACTGTCCAAGGTACTTCCACAGTTAAATGAGGTTTTCTATCTTCTAACCAAGTCCTGGTCTAACAGGACCTGAAGCTCTAACTCTTGGATCTTGGGCTCTTTCTAGACCCAGAAAGCTCCCAGCCTGTTGGGAATTCATAACTCCTACCATGTCCTTGCTGGAAAAATATGGGAATTTATAAGACAATAAGTACTGCCTACTTGTCTCCTAGAATTTTAGCTGCTATATGAACACCCATCCAAACCGATATTACTTCTTCAATAAGAGAGACTTAGGAATGTTTATTATCTAAGTTCTGCCTAGGCTGTCTCTCCAGATACAAGGAAGGATTTTTCTTCTGAGTGCTAAATCACATTGAGCCCAAATTACTTGTGCCAGCAAATAATTCTGCAATAGCTTCCCATCTTATTCAGAATAAAGTTCAAAGTCTTGCAAAAAATCTACTAAGAGAGCCTGGAGAAATATCACAAGGGATCAAAGCCTTTGCCTATGTTTGACCTTGGTTCAATCAACAGCACTACATCATGGTACCCAAAGTACAGCCAGGAACCACAGGGAGCAATCCCAAAACAAAACAAGTCTATAAAGAGCTTATATGATTTGGTTTTGCAAGTTCAGCCCTCTAGTTACAACTCTTCCTGCTATCACCTTTTCTCTCTACTGTAGTCACAAGGAGATCCTTGTTCCCTGAACAAACCAGGTATGCTCGTGCCTCGGGGACTTTGCACTTGCTTCCCCCCTACTGAGACTTGAGACTACCCTTCCTCAGGTATCTGTGTTTCTCCTCTTCACTGAGGTCTCTGTTTAAATGTCACCCTATTAATACCCAAAGACAATGGGAAAAAAATAACATGAGAACTGGTATTCAGTAGAAATTTTGTGTTTTATGTATGAAACCCTATTAGAAACAGTACTGTAAACCACAGTGTAAAACTCTTATTTAAAAAAAAAACCACCTCTCATAGAAGGAGTCTGGTGGATGGGAGGCAAACAGGAGTGCGTTTGCGGGAGGGGGGGAAGGGAGGGGGGAGTTGGAGGAGCATTGGTGGAGGGAAGTGAAACTAGTGAAGAGATTGGTGTTTTAAAAAAAAAACCACCAAAACACGTATGCCTGAAACCCAATCATAAATAACTTCAAAATTTCACTGTGAGAAAAAGGAAAAAGAGGGAAAAAAAAAGAAAGGGAAAGGTCACTCTATTTATTAGAAAGGCCCTCTTTAACCAAACCTATCTAAAAATTCCTACCCAGGCTGTTATTCTGTCTTGGCGAGCTTTACTTTTTCTCATCAACTGTAATTACATGATATGTTTTCCTGCCTTTTTTGGGTGGGCTTGTTTTTGGGCCACATCTGGTGGTGCTCAGGATTTACTCCTGGTTCTGGGCTCAGGGTTTGGGAACCATATGAGGTACTGGGGATCAAACCTGGGCAAGCCACATGCAAGCGCCTTAGCCACTATATTGTCTCTGGCCTCTTTCCTCTTCTTTGTTTATTCTCTTCACCATTAAAGTAAGTTCAATAAGAATAACAATTCTTTATTCCCAGAATATTATATAGCACATAATAGGAACTAAATACAAAACAGCTGAATGACTAATGTACCATCCTCCAAGTTTCTCCAAAAGATAACTTAAAAAGTTTCAAGGTGCTTTGCAGTTCTTAGCACATCCCAGTCATTTACTTCATATACATCTCTCTGGCATTTATAGCCAATGTCTAGAGGTACCCTACTGAAAGTTTCTCTCGGGCAGAACAAGCAGGTATGAGCCAGGCAGTGATGTTCCCATATAGAGGGAAAGAAGACAGAGGCATTAAGACTTCCCTTCAGAAGGAGCTGACTTTCACTCCCAGGATATTCTGCAAGTGGTGTTCTACTACCATCAGAAATCAGTTGGGGGCCAGAAAGATAAAAATACAAGAGTTAAGGCACTTGCCTTGCAACTGGCCGACACTAATTCAAACAGCTTATGTGGTCCTCTAGCACTGCAAGGTCTGGGGTGGCCCCTAAGCACTGCTGGGCATGACCCCAAACAAAATAAAACAACAAAAAACCCACTCAGAATATCTATTTAAAATTAACAGCAAAATCTAGGAGTGCAAATGAAAAGAAAAATGCAAGGCTGGGGCTGGAGCAATAGCACAGCAGGTAGGGCGTTTGCCTTGTATGCGTCCGATCCAGGTTCAATTCCCAGCATCCCATATGGTCCCCTGAGCACTGCCAAGAGTGATTCCTGAGTGCAGAGCCAGGAGTAACTCCTGAGCATCGCCAGATGTGACCCAAAAAGCAAAAAAAAGGTACCACTATGTTAATTTGCAAATAATTTTAGAATTTTCAAATAATTTTACTATTTACAAAGTGTTTACAGTTTGCAATAAATTTTTTTAAATGAGGTGGGCTGGGCCAGGGAATGAACTAAAAACCTCACAGATGTGAAGCATGAGTTCTACCCACTGAACCACATCCCCAGTCAACAGTAACAATTTTAATTCTCTATCTCTCTCTCTTTCTCTCTCTGTCCCTCCCTTCCTCCATCCCTCCCCCCCCCCCCCCCCATTTTGGGATCAAACCCGGTGTTGCTCAGGAATTATTCTGGATTCTACACTCAGGTATTACTTCTGGCCATGCATGGGGGACCATTTGGAATGCTAGGGATCAAACCCAGGCTGGATGCATGCAAGGCAAGTGTC